AAATAAAAATAAGTTGAAGCCCACTGCTTTTTTCTGCATATTATTAACAATCAATCATTATTATTTTGTTAGGAATTACCAAAATAATGTCAAACTAATGGAGGCATTGAGATAAAATAAGACTAAATGAACAGTCGGTCTTTTCCCAATGAGCAAAATTCAAAAACTGCAGCAACACAAAACAAAATAAGCAAGAAATTATACAAATAAAAATGCAAATATAAACATGGAGGATGCAATCAACAATTAAGTGATCTATAAATAGCAATAAAAGACAATTTGCTGCAGGAGTGTGAAGTTTAAGTGACAATAAGGGGATAAAGTGACATGATTTGAGCAAAAATAGCAAGTATACATCAAGATGATGTAAAATGAGATATGAGGTATAAATAAATACAATATAAGGTGGCATTAGAAAAAAATAATTTGCTCTATAATAGTGCAGACTCAAAATGCATCTTTCTCATCACAGATTGTGTAGTATATTTAATTACAGCATGAATGTGTGTATTATGATATATATATATATATAGGATAAAATTAAGAATCTGCAGATTATATCCACATTATTACATTCCTATATGTGTTTATATTGTTAAAATTATTTTTGCTGATTATTTTCTTATTTCATTAATACATAAAAATATGGATTAATCCATTTTGTGCAACAATGTTATTGCAACTTTTGAGTTTTTCATTTGCAATATTTAATCTGCAGGCTTCACTTTTCATATCTTTGTGCAATTACTGATCAACAAGTCAAAGGTGAAGCTTCTGTGTACATAGGATGAATTTTACCTTTAATATAATTCTGTTTTAACTTTTAATTGTTGACATATTTTAAACTTAATTATCACTTAATCTGCCTTGTCTTTTGTTGCGAGCTTCTGTGTGAATTTCCTGCAATGGGAGTATAACAAAGTATATCTTATTATACACAGTAAAACTTATAAGATTCTTTACGTTTTTATTTAATACACTAATAATTTTAGCTGCCAAACAGATATTCAATGTTAAAAGCAGGTTATATGCCTTTGATATATATAATTAAGTGTAACTATAAAGTGTAATAAATGTAGGTAAAAGTATTTTAAAGTGTACCCTGGTAAAAGTGTTGAGGGTTTTATACCTGTGTGACTGCAGGTCAAGAAGAGCCACTGTCAGACTTTTTAATAAAAACGCGTCTCAGCAGTCTGTTGTTACTCCAGCTGGGAGACTGAAAAAGCAACCCGAGCAAGACCGAGGGAAAAGTACATGAACAACACAGCTAAACATACAAAAACCAGCCTTTGTCTCACACATACACAAACACACGGACACACACAAACAGTCATGTGTACACAAACAGACTGAGTATGACAGCACAAGCACAACACTGTCAGCACTCTCCTCCATCTGTTCATATAAACCTGCAAAATGTTTGTTTCTCTTGTTACCCACATAACAAGAAGTGGTTTGGAGGAGGAAATGCAACTAGAAGGCACCAAAAATTTCAAAAATGAAACTCTGAGAGAGCAGAGCAGGATAAACTTGGCAGAGGAGAAGGAGGAGGAGGAGGGGAGGCGGGGTTACATGAGTGAAGGTAAATGACATTGGAAAGCCCAGTCTGATTCCAAGTGCCCCTGCTTTGAAAGTTTGCGTGAGGCAGCTTAACGGAACGTCGGGTTGTTTTTCCGCTCCACTGCGTTCTGGACTGAGCTATAAACTAAAGACGACATCCTCTCATTAGTCTGCCCTCTGTAGCAAAGCCAGGCCATTTAGTGTACCCAAAATCCCATTGTTTAATTGTGCGGGTCAAGTCAAAGGTCAACCAAAATATTGATGAACTTTTTTAAGGAAGGAGGGGGGAGCAGTGAGGCTTGAAGCGGCGGGGAGGCAGGCGAGGGCAGAGGTGCAAGGGCCACAAACACAGCTGTACTGCAGCGCACACAGAGCCGGGCGGGCTGGGAAAACAGAAAAAACATGTTTCACAGTCCAAGTTTCACACTGGAAAAGAGCTTCAGGTGTGTTACTTGGAGGTAACACCTTTAAAGTTACAGACAACCCTTTACCTCCATTTAAATTAAACATCACAAAGTTTTTGCTGGAACTCTTTAGTGCCAAAAGACAACAACTCTGACACTCAAAGTAACAGTGAAAACATCAGAATCAGCTTTACAGATAGAATTTACCATTTACTTCCATTTAATTTCTATGCTACTGGGGAATCAAATATGAAGCTGTTATTTCTTGCCGAACCAGGATAAAAATCTTTACTACCCTTTCAAAAAAAGTAGCACTAATAGTAACAGTTTTCAAATACAGATGACTCCCTTGACTTTCATTAATTTTTAACAGAAACCAAAAGTAAAGTACGCTCCCCCTGCCCAAACAGTTATGGAAAAAAAGTATACAGAATAGCTTTCGCTTATTTTGTATTCAGGGAAATCAAAGTCAGCCTTACAAATGACACAGTCCTACAACCCAGTGATAGCAATAGCAGCATTTTAAAATCTAAAATAACCCTTTACTTCCATTGAAATTTAGGTCTACTCCAGGAATTTAAATTGGCGACTCATTCCAGCTAAAAAAAAAAGTACCAAAGTTTGAGAAACAGTTTACCAATCAAAGTTGTCTGGTTAAGGGACTCAAAGTCAAATCAGAATTTTACCGTATGACAATAAAGTCCACAAAATAAATGATGTCCAGTAGACACAACTACACTGATAGAAAAAAATCTTTACATCAACATTCAGTGCTTCCTTATGGGCTAATATAAAATCTAGCTCCTGCTGACAGTCAATTCTGCCAAACCAATAACGCAGTCTAAGCTCTGGCAGTCAAACAGCACTACCTTCATGCATACATATAGCCATTTATTTCCATTAAATTTCTGTGCTATCGTATCAGCAGCGCCATAGTCAAAGATTACCATTTTCTTCCATTTAAGAGTAACTGATAATGCAAGGCATCTTAATGAAAATTCCCTTGCAGTCAGAGTCAAAGCAGAAGCACAGATTTACTTTCATTTACCTTCAGCTCTTGCAAAACAGATCACATACTCAAAGTGAAAAAGTCAAGACAACAGGAGCTCCTTTGCACATTCAGAAAGCCCACAAACATCTACAGAGCCGGCCCAAGGCATACGCGAACGAACATGTATCTACTGTATGCTGCTAAAGCTTAAACAAACCAGACTCAAATCAAAGTAGTCAAAACAGATTTACAAATTCAAATTACCCTTGACCTCCATTTCAGTTCAGAGCTTGTATAGTAAGTACACATTTCTCCTACCAAAGCAAAATATCCTAAAAAAATATTACAACAGAGACCTAACTGCAGAGCTTCTACAGATATACAATACTGGTCCCTTTACTTCCATTGAAATTGGGAGCTACAGTGAGCAATTACTAGTACAACCTGCCCCTGTTGCTAAAAGGACAATAAAATCCAAATTACCCACTCAAATGAATGATCTCTTCATAACAGCAACACCTCTAAAGACCTCTAAGTCTGCAAAACAACAGGTGAAGTCTCACATATTTATACAGCCCTTTACTTCCATTAAAATTCCATGCAGTAAAACTTAGTTCATGTGTCAGAGGAAAAAGACTAAAACAAATCCCTCAATCACACAACAGCAGCACCTTTACAGTCACAGAGAGCCCTTTACTTCCATTAAAATTCAATGGCTTTAGGTAGAAATACAGTCCAACACAGTCAAAGGTGTCAAAGCAATACAGATGCAGTAGCAGCAGGACCTCCAAAGATACAAACAGCCCTTTACCTCCATTGAAATTCATGCTACTGCAGAAAATTTTAGAGGGAACTTGCTCCCGCTGCTAAAGGACAATAAAGTCTAAATCAGCCTCTCAAAGCAACACAGTGGAAACAGCAGCAGGGCTCATAACCTGAATGAGATGGTGTGCAACGGCTGAGTGTTATGGATTACACTGTTTGTTTAAATCCATGTTAGGTGGATTATGCTCCTTCACTAAAGAGGGCTGGTTTGGGTCAAAGGCCAGTGAGGCAAAGGCTGCTAAGAAGGTCCTCAAAACACAGCTTTCTCTCTGACCTGAGGGAATTCCTGTGTGCAGACACCGCTCTCAGTTCTCGTGACCACAACGTTTGTTACTGGTGAAGCTGTTGCAGGAGAAGGTGTGTGAATAAAGTAAGAGAATACCCATGTAGAAAAACCTGCTTTTATAAGTAAAATCTAAAATCTAAATTATAGTATGAGAAAAGTTGCATGCAAGTCAAGATACACAAAAAGTGAAGTGTCACAAATCAAAAATCACTTTAATGCAAATTTTTTTTGAGTATTCATGGACGTGTTTCTGGATTTTTCTAGACATCATTGTCTTTTATAATCCTCACAGGGGAAGTGGATTAACTATTATGAATATTTTTCAACTTGTTGCTTTTTCGTGTTGAATAATATGATTGAAATGAAATTACTAGAATGTTATAATCACTTCATACACTTTTGGGAAAACAAAGGATTTTCTATTCTTCTGGCTTGTCCAACCTTTTAATTTGCCAACTTTCTTATTAAGCTCCTCAACTTGTTGCATTTAGTCTAAAATCCTATTGTCCGGATTAGGAAGTTATTTGTTGTGATTGTCAAACTTTTTGGGTTGCAGTTGAGGCAAAATAGATGATTACATGCTTCTGGGTCAAAGTTCAAAGAATTACGTTTATAAAATATTCATTTTCATGAGAACAACTCAGTGGAAAAAACGTATCAGGAGTCAAAATTTTGTTTATTTAAAGAGGAAAAAAATGGAACAGAAGAATTCAGCCAAAGCCAAGTCCTGGTGGTGATTAATTTATGTATTTTTTGGGGGTAAAAATAGAAACTTTCTTCCGCTCAGAGACTCTGGTTTGGCGCATACAGGCCGTGTCCTCTTGTGATATCAACCTCGCTGTAACTGAGAGCGATTTGCGCGCACTAAACAAAAACAAAGTGGTCACTTTTACGCCCCAGGCGCGTTTCTGGTGACATTTAACAGCAAGGAAAGCTATTTCCTTTACCATTCAAAGCCAAACGCTCTTAATTGCTCCAGAAGTCTGCTGCAGTTTGGAAAACACTTTGTGATATTCCCTGAGCTTGATCTCTGCGGTTCACTTGCGTCTGTGTTTATTCCTGTGTGGAGAAAATTGGTTTACTCGAGCTGTAATTTTGATATGACACTCAAATATTCCCTTGAACGCGCACCATTTGGTAAGCTTTGTAGTCCTAATGGGCATTCATTATGGTTTTCAAGATAAGTTTATGTTGTCATTAAATGTGACTAAACACAGAAACAAACATTTCCCAAACGCACCTTTATCTGCGCAGAAGAGAGGCCGGGAACGGCGCGCTTTGGCTGCAGAGAGGGATCAGATAGCCTGGGGTCGTCTGATCGGACCGGATCATTTCACCGATACACATCTTGGGAACAGTTTTCGTCTTGCAGACTGCAGCAGAGCGCTGATGTGAGCGGGCACCCACGGGCTCCCACCGGGACTGAGGAATTTCCTTTCTGCTTTGTCACAGCCTGAAAACCCAACATCAGCGTGCAGAAAAACTGAGTAAAGAAAGAAAGAAAGAAAGAAAGAAAGAAAGAAAGAAAGAGAAAAGTCTGCAATCACTTTACGAGGTATTTTAATCTCTTAGTCAAACTTTGAAAACTTTGTCTTTACGCACGGGGGGAAAGCGGAGAAAGTGAGGCTGCTGGTGCCGGTGGAAGTGTTTGAGAAATTAGAAACAAGTGTGAGACAAATGAGTGAAAAACAGGCGCACTATACTGCCGTGTGTCAAGAAACACCTGGTGACACATGAAGAAAACCTTTAGCCCATACACGGACAGCTTATAGTCTGTGTTTTTCAAATTACGCAGCATGCAATTAAAGGAATAAAACTCTGTTCTGTTTTTACGCACTCAACAGGCTGAATATTTACGGAGGGAAGTTGCCTGTGGGCCTTTTCTTCTGAAATTGAAACCTTTAGAAAGTGCAGAATTTTCATAAAACAAAGATAAATCAGCCTGAAAACCTGATGTGAAATTATTATTAATTTTCCAAGTAGGCTTCTACACTCGGACATCTACGAGTGGTATTTTCTCGTGTCTTTATTATCATTTTGTTACTTTTTCCTTGATAACGGAAGCCTTAATGGTTCATTTCCATCCTTTTCACGACCTTAGTCTTTTTTTTTAGTGTTTTCATTTTTGTCATAAAGAAAATCTGTCTTCAATCATTGCAGGCAGAGCAGACACACACACACAAACGCAGTGGACCCAGGAGCTCTTTTGGTTCAGCTGAGGTAAACCTGCTGACTGGAGGATTTCCAGTTCAAACACTGAAAACTGGCCTGATTATGAGTTTAGCACTTATTAAGAGAGAGGAGCGAAGCGAATCATGATGTTTTTCTCCTGGACTGAATCCCAACGGGAGGATGGAGACTATTTTTGTTGTTTTTAATTACTCTATAGACTACTTTATATCACTTTATCTCCATTTTTAGTCCTTTTTTTCTGAATCAGGGCCCATTTACTGAAGTTAAAGATCCATTTGACCTCCAAAGTAAAGTGGAAAAAAACAATAATGACATTTGAGGTACTTTTTTCTAAATGCTTGACTGAGTAAAGATAAATTTGTAAAAATTAAGTAAAAAAGGAAAAGTGAGATATATTTATATATATATGTATATTAGTTTTTTTCTTTCTACATTTTTCATTGTTTCCAAAAAAAGTTACCTTTTACGATTTCCAGAACAAACTAGACAAGTCAAGAAACGTATAATAATAATAATAATAATAATAATAATAATAATAATAATAATAATAATAATAATAATAATAATTATTATTATTATTATTATTATTATTATTATTATTATTATTATTATCATTATTATTATTATTGTTATTATTATTATTTACATCTGTAGACTTAAAAAAAAAAAAAAAACATTTTCAGTATTTCCAGCACTTGAGATTTGACACAAATTCAGGAAACAGGAAACAGTTAAAAGAAAAGTTTAGACACCCTGAAATTGTTGTTAAAAACAGTCATCTGTATATCTGATTGAAAGCAGTGCAAATAACTAATTAAATAATGGAACAAAAAATTGTGACATTGTAAATAAAAAAGTATTTGCTTGTTTTGAATCAGAAGCCTGTTAAGATTTGTTCAATCTGAATCAAGTTTCAATAGTTACATGTGTACAAGTGTTTTTCATCACCTCTTCTCTAACAATATCTTGAGAAAATGTTTCTAAACTAAGTGTACCAGTTTCTGCATCCATGATTTCCAGAAACAGGGTCACTCTCAGTCCACCTTAGATAAGCTCAGGCCCAGAGAAGTTGCTCAGTTTCGGGATCATGTTTAATTTGCTCTTTAGATGATACAGTTTTAACCTCCATTTGCAGAAGCAGCAACAAACTTTTCATTGATTCTGTTTTTTTTTTTTTTTTTTTTTTTTTTCAGAGGAGATTTACAGCCCATGCAGTGATTTCTACTACAGAGTCAGGTCTGTTTTGCTGCCTGAGGGCCCAAAAATCAAGACCATCTGGTATAGTTTTTAGCAGGTTCCTCCAGATCCTGTGAATCTTCTGGAAATGATGAAATCCTGAATTTATTCTGAAATTGTTGAACTATTTGCTCACACAGTCTCTCACAGAGTGGTGAACCACTTCCTGTTTATTTCTCAGAGACTGGGCCTCCCTGAAGTGCCACTTTTATACCCAATCATTTAGAAACTTGCTAAGAAATCTGTGATTTTATTTAATTAATCATTCTTTTTTTCCATCCAACTGAGCATTTTTTGGTCTAAGAGAGGTCTAATAGTGGAGAGGTCTAAAAATGAAAGTTTTTTGGACATCTAAATTTAGACCAAGATTAGACTAGCCAGCTATATCTATACTACACTGTATATTGCTCAATGGCTATCATAATTATTTAGGTTAAGTACTTGGAGATCAGTTTTGCAACTCACAGTTGCTTTGTGAAATAAATATTTATCGAAAAATGGGTTAAAGTGCAACGTCAATAGTCCGTCTAAAAATATACAGAATCTAGACGGCTAATATTAGGTCTAAAAGATAAACTAGATGTCTAATAGCCATCTATTGCTCAGTGGGGTAATTCAAATTTTCTGTGTTTTCTTGTCTATTTCTAAATGCTCTTACAAATCCCACTTCACACTCTTTCTTCTTTCAAAAAATGAATTGAATGATTTTGTTTTCCTCAAATGGAACAACAGCTTTTCTTAAAAGTGCGCAAAAATCATAAATTTTCTTCTTATACAGTAAGAAGACAAATGTATTTTTATTTATTTATGAACTACGGTAGAGAAGGTAGCACTCACCCTGGTCTCCCGTACTTTAACCCAAAGGAGAACCTTTTTTTCCCCCTTCGCTTTAATGTTTTATTTTGAAAAACTTCCCATCTGGATTCAATGAGTTGTAATGGATAAGAGCTAGTTTACGAGAAACAGAGTTGTAAGAAAAAAAAAAAAGTTACGATATCCTTATAAATCTGTTGTCGTTTGATTTTATGTGACTTGTTATCAATACAAGGGTAATTCTACTCTGTTAAGGTACCTGAACTACTCACACTGAGTACTTGAGATTTAAACTGGATGGTAATGATCAATTGATTTGTAGTTATAATCCAAGTGTTATTGATGTTAGCTATTGAAAATCAACTGTATGTGATGTCAAAACAAATAAGTAAATAAACAAATAACCATTTTAATGATGATCTATAAATTTAAAGCTGTTTTTTAGCGTGGGCCTTGTGCCTGTAATGGAGAATATTTAGAGCCTGTTAAGTTACCTGAGCTCTCCCCTCATCACTCTCATGGAAACAACCATGAGAAGAAAAAAAAAAAAGCTTTTTTATGGCTGAAAACAATCAAACAAACAAAAACCATACAAACAAACAAATAAATAAATACATAAGTAGATAAATAAATAATCATTTTAATGATCTGTAAATTTAAAACTGTTTTTAGCGTGGGGCTCGTGCCTGTAATAGAGTATATTTACAGTTACCTGAGCTCTCCCCTCGTCACTCTTATGTAATGACTCATGGAAACAACCATGAGCAGAAAAAAAAACATTTTTTTTTTTTTTTTTTAAATCTGGGGAAGCACCATCCCAGGAAGCGCAGTGAGCGTGGCCCGTGCACGCGCTCGCTGTGTGTATTAATAATTGATCGCTGCCAGCTGCTGGTTGGAGTTTGGCACTAAGCGCACGCGCCTCGGTAGCTCTTTTCCTAGTGTCCCTTAAGCAGGATTGCCCTCTTATTATTCATAAAGCCCCCGTGGATGAAAAACAATAAAAGAAACAATGCTATCGTGCAGAGGGATCGGCAAAATGTTGCAATTTAATAAATTGCCAAAACTCGCCACTCAAGAGTGAGTGACCAGATTGATTCTTGCTCTCCCATCTGCGCCCGAGCAAACACATCTGAGTCAGTGTAAACTCTGCGGCTGTTTTTCCTCCTTTTTTCCATCATAAGTGAAATATTAATGAGCGACAGTCACGTTGATGAAAAACCTGTTTAAAAATGGATGTTTTGTTTTCCCATGAAGTGAACTAAATATGTTTTGGAGGGGGGCAGCTGTGCGCAAGGGGCTGCGCGTCTTGGTGGGAGGTATAGAGGCTCATTGATGAAAGAGAGGAGTGTGTGTTTCGCCCCAAAGCGAAGGAAGCTGCTCCTTTACCACCAAACACACGATGTGAAAGTCACATTTTTACATCAAAGAGTCTGAGAGGAAACCAAACACAGAGCTGCAGGAGACACACAAATTAGGTTTCCTTGCTCCACCATGCACCACCACTATACATTGATTTATTGATGAATTTTAAAGTAGAAATTGGAATGATCCTGCCTCCTTATAGAGTTCAGATAAACCCAAAAGCAACAGAAAGAGTCACTTCGTATTTGAGACACACTGAAAATATCAGGAAACTTGATTTAATCAGGCAGACTTGTAACATCGATTTTTTATTTTCATTTACAGGAGAAAGTTGAGACAAGTACATCCATCTGGAGCCTCACGATGCTCACAGCTGTTCTCTGTCAGCATGCAGCAGCCCGATCACCAAATACTTGACAGAAGGAGCATTTTACAGAACAGAAAAGAGACGAGAGACGAGCTTAGATCCCTTAAATTGGAGTAAGGTGGGTTTTGATTTACTAGACAGTGAAACATCGAGCTAATCGAAACGTCACATGACAGGAGAGACTCTTAAACAAACGATTGTTCGAGAAAATTCAATAAAAAGTCAATAAAACTAACCGTGTGTTCATAAAAGCTTTAGAAATGTGTCCAAGTTCCCTCGCGTAAAAGTCGTCGAGTCAGACGCCCGAGAGCTGATTTCAAGAGTTTGTTGTAAAAAATTAAAGTTGAACAAAACTCGA